ATACAAATATATCAGAAATTTTTAATTACATTTTAATGTATTTATTTTTTCCAGACTTTGAAAAATTGGTTAGCAGACAACATATTGTTCTCAAACATGAAGTAAAAAATATACAAGATCGTCTTGATATTATTATGTGTATGCAAGAAAAAATTAATGAAAGATTACAAGGATGTGTATCTGCCGATATTACCGAAGATTCATTTGATAACACTATAACTCGTGTGGATACTGCGACTGATTTAAATGATTTTGAGGACAAATTATTAAACGATACAACATATAAAAAAAATTGGTATTAATAGCAAATTACATTACTTTCAAATTATATAAGATTATAATTACTGAATTTTATTTTGTATGTAGATTAAAGAACTAGCTCGTTACAGAGGACAGAATTTGTCTGAAACTATAAGAAAAATTATGCAAACATTATTCACTGGTAATTTTCTAACTAACTACTCCTACATAGGATTTAAAGGAAAAGAAAATTTCTCTACACTCCAAACTTGCTCCGTGATATTTGGTAAATATTTTTAATGCAATTTTAATCAATTTAATACTCCATACATAATAACTATCTACATAGTTATTATTAGTAATTTATAAAAGTTAACCAATTTTTTATTTATACAATTTTGGTAATGAACTTTTCCGCTCATGTCTTAATAGATATACAGACTTTTCACTCACTTGCCTTTCTCACAATTTTTATGTAGCTCACTATTTAAGCAAATGACTTAATACTCATTATTATCACTTTTTAGATTTTTTCAGTGCAATGATTAAAATCATTGAAATTTATATAAAACTTCATAACACAAGTTTTAAGTAGAAAAAAAAAGGCTCGAATCTTTGATTTTGATGGAGGTTTTTGTTAACAAATTAGAAGTTTTTACTTTGGGGAATCAGTAGTAAAAATTTCCAATTACTTATTAAAATGATTAGCAAACCGATTCATATTAAATGTTATAACTTATAAACATCATATAAATACTATTATCGCCAGTATTGTAAAAATAACTTAAAAACTATATTTTAAAATTTTTAGTTGTCAATTATGTACAAAATTATTAATAATACATATATTTTTTATAAAACTTTTGCTATTTATAAATATTAGTTAAGCTTTGAGGGTATTGACAACTAAATTCAAATTATTTGCAAAGTTGAGATAAAATTAATATTTAGTATAATATAGAAGGTAAATATATGTACATATAGGTTGTTTAAACAATAATAAATTGTTTTTATACCCTTATTATTTCTTAACTAACAATATTTAATATTTTTAATTATTAACTATAATTACAAGTATATTTAAATTTAAAATAATTACCAAAATGATCACATTTCAGAAATTAAAGTTTAATTATTTTACATTAATTAAAATTATTATGTATCAATTCAATCATATAAATGTTTCTTCAAGATTAGTACCTATCACTCATATTATCAGCAGCATATAATATATTATTATAAAGATAAGATTTTAGTAGTTGTCGTTAAATTTAACAAAAATACGAAATATGTTTAGTAAATATATAATATATGTTATGTAAATTATATAATATGTTTAAAAGTAGAAAAAATGTATTCAATATACATTAATATATAGGTACCTAGTATTTAAACGTCTCAAATACTTATTGATAGATAGTATAGGTATTTAAGACTGTAAATGGATTAATAAATATAGATATATGGTCAATGAAAAATAACAAATGATTTGTTTTTTGTTTGTTTAGAAACTATTCGCCAAATGAAACCATTTTCTTCACAAAATCTCCCAAACACTGAAAAGAAAAACCATTAAAAAATTGGTTGGCACAAGCTTCTAATAGAATCAAAAAATTATCAGCTAAAAATCCTCAACAAGATTCACAATAAAATTTATCCATGGTTTATTTAACTAAGTATTATTTTATGTTATTATTACTAAATGATTATTATTATCAATATATAATATGTCGTGTAAATTATGTTATTATTTTATTATATTCTTCAGTATTATATAATAAAATATTATATTATGTTTAAGAAAGAAACATCAGTATAATTTTATTTTACTTTATATAATTTATATTATTATTTATATATTATTTATAATTATAATGTTATAATTATTTTAAAATATCAATGAAAAACAGTATTATAATTTTTTTTTTTTTTTTGTACACAGCTACTTTTAATAGTTTTCTGTTTTATTATATTACTTTATGTATAATATTATGTTCTTTTGATAATATAACTTTTTATAATATAACTTTTGTCTATCTGTGTTTATTTATTAATAAAAAGAAATGTTTTCATTTACTGCATTACATATACATAATATAGGCATTATTAAATATAACATTTTTATATTTTAATTAATTATTAATCTATTATATGACCTATAATATAATTTAAATATGATTTATTTTGTTTCTGAATATATTTACTAGGAATGTGTATTATGTAAAACATTTTTTTTCTAAGATTGATAGTAATTTTTGTCTTTTTGATTGACTCTCATTTTAACAATTGTGAATTAATGAATATTAACATATTGTTAAACATGTCACTGAATTAAATGGTTAAACAAGTAGGTATACCAAATATTACGGTTTATTTATTTTAAGTGTGCCAAATTTAAGGCGGGCCACTTCCGAAAATATTTAACACCATCAAGCAACAAGTCCTTACGTTGGTATGTAGTTACTATGTACTAGATAGGTAATAGTCAATAGGTCCGTACTAAATTATATAATATATTGATCTATTGAAATAATAATCATCTTGGACGTTTATAATTTAGGTATGTGAATATTATTGATGTACTTACGCTTTGGTTAAACACTGAAAAATATGTGACCATAAGCATAAGGAAATTTGAACGATATAAAATAATAGGTAGGTACTTAACTATATTTTATACAAGATACCACCGTGTTTGATTTTACAGAATAAAAAAATACATTTTCAGCGTTTGACAAAGTTACGATGAATTTTCTAATAAACCAGGTCCCGAATGTTTTGGTGGTTAGGTCTATTCTTCATGCACTGGTCGAATAAATATATAGGTACCTAGGTAACTAAACTATTAAATACTGATATTACATTACTTTGTGTTTTATTTTGTAGCGGCGGAGTTGTGGACACACAAACGTCGTCGTCGGTTTGACAGTTCCAAACGAGGTTAGGTTTTAGAAGATTGTACATAGTAAAAATGATATTTACTATTATTATTGCTTGAGTCGTTACACCGGCGACACATATCACACGTCGATCAAACAAGATAGGTACATACAGTGGATACCAGATGAAACAGTATTATGTTATATAAAAATCGTGACATTTAAACACTCAATAGAGTGCGATTATATATATAGATACGTATAAATGTACTTTGTTTCTCCTTGGTCAAGTAATATGATGATCAATTTTCACTATATAAAAGAGTTCTTTTATTAATTATTAAGAAACAAGTATAAATAATAATAAACATATTATTTATAAAAGAAAATTGATTTTTCATAACTAATAACTTTCTACTTTCGAATAATACAAAATATAATAATAATTAATAACAGTAAAAATACATGTAATATCTACTTAATAGTTAATAGATGGTACCTACCAGTGCCGCAATAGGATTCTTGAGACCCCGGACACATTTAATGTATGCGGGGCCCTGAAGTCTATGTATAATATAATGTTTTTTATATTTTAGGTACCTATACAAAAATAAATAATGATGGTGATTTTCTTTTTAAAAAACAAAATTTTTACAAGCACTTAAAACACCGAAAATCGTGAACTTCGTAAATCTTTACCATAAAAACTAATAATTTCCGGCAGTTAATTTTTGCATCATACTATCATAGATATACATCTTAACTGGTCGCAACACATGGGTTACCGAAAAAAAAAAATTGAAAAATTTGCTTGAGTGCTTAACTAGATTATAACACTAAATTAAAAAAAATATTTTAGAGGTTTTAAGAAATTGTCTTCAAATTATCACATTTAATTATTTTATAAAGTGATATTATTGGTAGGCTCAGTTTCTATTTTATAATAGATCAATAGCCAATAGGTTACCTAAATCACATTTTTTTAAATTTAAATCCCGGTAGTCGAGTTTTTGGCAAGTACCACAAAGGAGACTTATAATAATTCACATTGTAATTTAATAGAATGTCTATAAATTTGCGGACCAGTTTCGGATAGTTAAATTTGGCATGCGAACTATGAATGAAATAGAAAACCAGAATAAGTACATTGCTGATCACAAAAATTTCTGTAAAAGTACGTACGATTTAAGACCAATTAGGTACTGAGTATAGTATATAAGTTCTATGGATTTATCTTAGTAAATAATATATTTTATAATAATATCTATGGCTATCGTCAATTATTGTCGACATTCGTCGGCGACGATTAACAATTCTAATAATTTCAGTGAACAAAAAAATAATAAGTGATCAATATATAAGGACAGTTTGTTAGCACAAATTCACACATTTCGTTATGGTCGGATTATTTTCATTAAATATTTCGATACTTTCAAGTTTCAGTTCTGAGCAAGATGATGATGGATGAATATAGGTAGCCGTTTTTTCGTCGAAGGCGGCACTCTAGCTAGATTTCACCGGAAGAGTCGATGTTTACGCGTAAGTTTGTTTTCATATTATTGCTATTTTAGTATTTTACATTTACTTTAAGACTTAAATTAAATATTTATTGCCCCGGACAATCTGTTAACTGCAGTGGCGTACTTAGACCTGAACTTTGGGGGGGGGTTTTAATTTTTTTAATTAACATATTAGATGACGTGACACCTGAACATAACAAAACATATCGTACATTTTAATAGATTACTAATTTTTATTCGTGATATTATTTTTCATTGACATGTGATAATTAATAAATATGTAATTACTACTTAACCATATGTATATAAAAAAAAAAATGTTAAATTATATAATAAAAAATAATTTAGATACTTATGTTTTTTAGAACATTAATTTTCTATTTTTTTCTGAAAAAATATCGACCACTTCACTACTTTTTATTGGTATTTCTCTGTGAATACTTAGATGAGCCAATCCATTTAGACGATTTTCCCCCGTGGAATTCCTCAAGTATGATTTCAAACGTTTTAACGTTGAAAAGCTCCGTTCTACGCTAGCAACTGTGACGGGCAACGTAGCGCCAATTTTTAAATATTGGTATACTTTAGGAAACAGTAACTCATCACAACAATTTATGGCATCGATAAAAGTACAAGGGAGTTTATCTTCTGCAGCGGCTAACCATCTTTGTTTCCACAATAGAACTTCTTTGTTCACAATATTGTCACATGAGCTTATTACGACTGGCCACTGTTTTGACAACACTTCCGTACTTGTCTCAATTTCATTTTCGGATAATTTTATTAATTTGTTTGGTATAAAGTTCTGAATAATTGAGAGTGTATTTTTGTGTTTGGTAAATCTAATTCCTAACTGCGAAATGAAATGGTCAATAAACGGGATGAATACAGATACCCGATAATAATTTTCTGCTGAAGTTAACTCATAATTTGCTCTATGTTGTTGAAAATGTGTAACCCTTGGAATTTTTATATCTTCTCCGATTTCCTTAGCAAGGTGTTCAGCTGTGCTAAATAAATCATGAAATTTCGACTCTACATTGCTACGCATTTCCTTTATTAGTGTACTTAAATTATTAGCAGTCTCCATTGCAGAGGCTAAGTCAACATTTACTTTTTGTAGATAGATTGATAGTGGGTGAGCCATTGAAAAAATTTCTTGGATCACGACCATTGCAAGAATAAAATTTCCATTTTTGAGAGCTTGTTGTAATGTGAACGCTTTTTTTGATGCTTCTCTGTTACCATCCATTTGTATTTTCTCTAATGCAAAAAAGATTGGCACAAAAAGTTCCTTGAATGTAATTACAGCGTCAAGCCGTTCAATCCATCTGGTTTCACAAAGCTTCATTAGTCGTCGCTTTTTTGTTTCACACTCTAATTGGTGGATTACATCCTTTAAAATGCTTTGTCGTTGTGCCGATATACGGAAAAAGTTTATGGTCTCTTTTATCGATCCAAGACTGTTCCTGATAATAGGAATGTTGCATGCGTCACTCACAACTAAATTTAATGAGTGACTAGCACAATGTACATACAATGCCTGAGGATATTTTTCCATAACTTTGGCAGCACACCCTTGAAATTCTCCACTCATTGCTGCCGCTCCGTCGTATCCTTGGCCTACTAAATATTTTAGATTCAACTTTAAATTTTGACATGTTTCCAATAAAGTACACATAAGTCCTTTTCCGGTAACATCATTTACATGTATTTATATGTATATATAATTGGTCTCGAGTATCAGCATCTATCATTTATGCTATATGCCCCTATAAGGCCATACGCCGTAGTAGATAGTAGATAAATAACTTATGTGTGATTAAAGATTTCAGAATTTGTTTTGTTTTTCTTAGTGTTTATAAATATGAAATTATGATATTCAAAATAAAATAATGTACGTTTTAATTATGTAGTATTGGGTGTAGAATATTGGTATTATATGAAATTATTTGATTGTTGAAAAATAAAACTTTCGAGCGGAGCGAGAAAAAATTTTTTTTTCTAATAATTATAGTGTATATAATAATATATATTGGCCTGCTGAAAATTTTTTTTGGCCTGCTCTGATGTTAGTATACCTTTCAAAAAGTTGAAATGACGCCCCTGAGTAGGTATTAATAATAATTATAATAACAATAGCCTTACCTGAACTAATTTCATTTATTTCGTTATTATGATCACGATCATGCTGGTCTCTATTCACTATATCAAGTTTAGGTTTTTTTCTATCCACTTATCCATTGTTAAATTTTAATATACCTACTTAAACCTTTTAATAAAATATACTTAAACTTTTATACAAATATACAATAGTTCGTACTTCGTATGCAACTGTAGTTTTGTTTGTCACTATAAGTTTAATATAGTTCAATGGTTGATAAAATAACATGTAGGCACTGTCTCGGTAATACATGAAAACGACGTTAACGATTGTTGATTATAGATTAAAGTGGCTAACAGCCTAACACACTAGGTGATTAATCGCACAAAATAAAATACGTTTTACGACGACGATAAAAGATAATTACACCGATCGTCCACGTCCATATCTACAATATGTCAATATCTTCGTGGAAATACTCATATTCCCGTAGGTACCCACATTAGATAATGTAAGCTGACAAGCTGTACTATTAATAATATTTATAATTCAGAACTCAGTATTTGAGAAAAGTAGAGTACAGTACAATTAATATACAGGTACTAGAAATTTTAGTTTTCTCATAATAAATTAAATCATCCATTAATTTCGGGGGGGGGGGGTTTTATCCCCAAAACCCCCCCGTTAGTACGCCACTGGTTAACTGGGTGACGTAGAAGCATTTATAAGTTTAATCCTAAAAGCGCCATGTATAAAATACGCGAGACCGAACAGTCCAAAGTCCGTCTTCGTTTCACTACTCCAAGTTTAATAAGTGCCTTTTTGCATAGGTATACTATAAGCCGGGTATCACCTTAGGTTTTGCGTGAAGTATTTAAAACAATATAATGTTATCAATCTTTATATTTTATATACATAAATACATTATAAACCTCTTGTATTTTATTAGCATACCTACTCACAAATTTTGTAGTGTAGTTTATACCCTATATAGCTAGATATTAAATGTTTTGAAATTATATATTTTACTATAATTATTATTTTCCATTATCATATAATATAACAATACACTTTAAATTAAATTAGTTGTTATCAAAACAGACAATCTTAAGACAAACTCTTTTCTGGATGTTATCAAAACGGATTATGCTTAAAAAAATTGTACAGTTGTCGTAGCAGTCAGTTGCTAGATCAACCCGTGAGACATTAAATATTTTTTTCGAAAAATATATGTAATAATATGTATGGCTCATACAATAAAGAATTTATAGTTAATAGAGATGCGGATGTTTATACTTCATAGATATTTTTTTATTGAAATCTTGTAAATAATTGAATTAAACAATCGGGTACAAATCACTAGTATCAATTTTATTATATTACGTGTAAAATCACCGGAACGAAGTGTAGACTGCAGATTATTAAGCATTAGTACAGCAGTAGGTTATAGTCATTTTTGCCCAAAAAATTACATTTAAAAGTGTCATAGTGTATTCGTGTATATAAATTATAATAATATACTCTATTTATAGTATATATTTGTGATGTCTATAAACTTGTGGACTAATTAGTTTGGTTAAATTTAGTATACGATAAATAACTGAAATAGAAAACAAGAATACATTGCAGACCACAAAGATTTCTGTAAAAGAACACACGGTGTATCGATAGACCGTGTATGTGTGTTGAGTGTAGAAGTTCTATGGATTTATCATATTAAATAATATATTTTATATCATCTATGGCAATCGCCAATTGTCGATATTCGTCTGCGACTATTAACAATTCTAATAATTTTAGTGAAAAAAAAAATAATAAGCCATCAATATAATATACAGATAGTTCGTTAAGCAGTATATATTATAATGTAAGTTTTAACACGAATTCGCACATTTCGTTATGTTCAGGTAATTTTCATGAAATATTTCGATAGTTTCAAGTTACAGTTCGGAACGAGATGAAGACGGATGAAGATAGCTGTTTTTTCGGTGGCTTCACGTACTGGACGTTTGCATTGTTGATGCACTCTAGCTAGGTTTCACCGGAAGAGTCGATGTTTCAGCGTAAGTTTGTTTTCATATTATTTTGGGATTTTCGTTAACTTTTTAGGCATTTTAATAATTAAAAACATAATATAACGCAATGTTGTAGTAGAAGCTGGAAACTGTAGTGCCTATATTCTAATTTTTGAATTTTTTAAATTTTAATGTAACATTTATTATGCCTACACAAAACACTTTTCTACAAAAATTGAATTAACAATATGATCATTGATTACATACGGAGTACCTATAATATATTATGCATGGAAAACGAAGGTCGAATTTGACTACCTACTTATCGTGTACACAAAGAAATAATAAAAAAAAAATTAAAAATTAAATACACATCATAGTAAATTCAAAATATTCATTGTTCAACTCAGAATCTAAAATACAAATTATAGGTCCCCGATACAATTAAAATTTTTATAATATTGAATAATAATTAATAATTTTGTGATCAGCAGTATTCGTAGAAAATGTTAGATTTGAAATTTTAGAATCTAGTTGGTATTATAGCCGATACTGTAAATTTGATGAATTTACTGAGTATACCTTTATGTTACCTAAAATCCAGTAATCACATTTTTATTTAATGATTTATAAAATACAATAAGCTTTTATAAACATATGCTTGTACTTCTGCAGATATCTATTCACCATATTAATAAATAATTAAATTAATAAACGAAAATAATATATCATATTTGACACCTATTATTATAATTCAAATTCAAAATTATAAACTATCTTGATTTTTGTCATACAAAATTTCAACGAACAAATATTGTTCCTTAACATGGAACTCTTTGATATAAAAAGTTGCATTATATGATCCGTGGATTCATCATATTGACTATTTACCTAGTAATTATAATATCTATCATTTATATTCTATGGCAAATCTCAATGTCGTTGCAGACGACACAGTCGATTAAAAATTCTAAAATTTCAATAAGCAAAGCAGATATGAGTAAAAAACTTACTGCGTCCCGTATAATTTTATTTTTCATAAATCACAATATTTTAAGTTCTATATTCTCTGAAGCGTTTCGTCATCGGCATCACAGTTCTCACACTTTACGGATTCCGCCGAAAGAGTCGATAATTAAACTATTAAAGTAAGTTTTTTTTCATATTCTTTTGACGCTTAATTTTACTTTCATTTTTTCTAAAATATATGGTAAAAAATAAATCAAATTTCGCTATAAAAAAATTATAAAACATAAAGTATTTTAAATTTGAGTGGAATAATTTTTTATGATCATAACCACATTGCCTACAGATTATTAAGCATTAGTACAGCAGTAGTTTATAGTCATTTTTGCTCAAAAAATTACATTTAAAAGTGTCATCGTGTATTCGTGTATATAAATTATAATAATATACTCTGAGGGCCGTTCTTACAATGTCAGGTAAAGTGTCGGTTAACGCTAACCGACTAATAACAGATTTTATTACCTGAAGGATTATTATACGGGTTATGTGTTGGTTAAATTTAACCGGACATTGTATGAACGGCCTTAAAAGTCTTATAAATCCACGAACACCTACTATTTTTAAATTACAACAAAATAACTAAAATCGTTATTCTTTGTTTTCATAAGTAATTTCGTCCAAATTTGAAATTATAATGTCTGTGAAAATTAACTGTGTTTTTAATAAATTATTTAGTTTTATTTTGTTAGAGTATGAACACTCACTATGAACTATTTTTGAGAATTCTTGTTTTACATTTTCAATCCTTAGCAATAAAAGTTGAACATTTTATAAATTTTACTACTAAATAGTAATTTGTAAACTATCAATTTGATAAATTTTGTTAAAAATTGAACTTAAATTTCTTAAAAAAATGGATCTTATATCTTATACGTTATACGAGAATCATATACAAATCATTGTAAAATCAAAATATTCATTGCTCCAGTAGTCCACTCTAAAATACAAGCTAACACACAAGCCCGGATTAAGGGGGGGGCAAGGGTGGCACGGTAACGGGGCCCATCTTTATCGCCAAAATATATTTTTTTAACGCTTCCAATACATTTTACAAAATATATATATATTGAAGTAGGTATAGCCGTATAGGTATAGGTAGTAGATAAATTATTTTTACTTAATAAATAATAATTATAAAATAAAATTGTTCTCAATTTTATATCATGAAAAATTACTATAAAAAATGAACTGTATTGGTAAACACAATTTTCATTATGTTTTTTTTTCTGAGTATTTTCGATTACTGATTTAACTATTAAGTATATAGGTAGTTATAAGAAAAAAATATTTAGCTCTTGTAAATTAGGTATTTCAGTTAAAAGTATTAACGCATTCTATATTAAACTTTCGCGGACCATAGTTAATAAGTAATATATTACATATTTCTATATATACATAATGTATTTTATTAAATTGTTGTAATCTAAATTATAATTTGTTTATTTTATTATA